ACTCAAAAGAATAAAAAGTGAGGAGTTTAGAAAAGGACTTCAATACCCCCCCCTCCTCCTCCCCTGTTGGTAAGACTAACCCTGACCCACCACCCAACCAGGTTTCCTGTTGGTTAGACTTTAGACTCTAGCACCCTCACCACACCCCATCCCTCTCTTTCCTGTACGGGTTGCCTAGGGTATTCATCTTTTACCTTTAGTGTCATACTTCTTACCCCCCCCCCTCCTCCGTTCAGACTTGTTGAAAAATATTTGGGATTTGTTTTGTTTTTTTGTGAAACGATATTTAGATATTGTGACTATATTAGATCTACATCTTTGTAAAACTACCCTGTACATTTGGTCTGCAACGGACGAATATTTGTAATAAACTTTTTGTTGGTGCTTATTGCAAAGTTAATTTCCCAATCTTGGTCTTTCGTACTTTATTATCTTTATGTGAGTGGTAGGTGTGGTTTGCTCTTTCTGCCCTATCCAGCAGGCACCATTCTCATCTCTCCTCCTTTTCTTTGTATGTTATTCTCTTGTCTAGAATATGACATGTAATTGTAATAGAAATCCGTCTAATCTTCGACACTTAACTGATCTATTTGTGATGCAAGTCCAGTAACACTTGTAAGTTGTACGGTACCAAAACTAAACTCTCGAACTTATTTATTGAAATTGAAACAAATTTCTCGACTCATGACTGTTATGTTTCACGTTCCCATCGACAGTACTAGTACTATTTAGATATTTCAAGAGGCTGGTTGCTTTGACCTTGCTCGACAGGGCCATCCCAGGTTGAATGTGATTTCACTGGCGTCAGTGGTGTAATGGTAAGGTGCTTCACTGTCACATGTAGGAGACCTGCTTGATTCCCGAGTTGGTAGAATTTTATCAAGTATCTCTATTTTTCTACTGGTGAATGTTTATCATTCTCAGTCCAGGTTTGATTCCGAAAGACAGGGTTCAAAGCCCGCATTCTAAAGTATCTAAAGTGAGTCAATGGGCGTGTAGTATGGCGTGTTAGACAGGGATCATTATGAACAAATTAAAAATATACTTAGGAAGAACATAAAGGTTTCATGGAACAGTGGCTGTTACTGTTAGTTAATAGTTAAGTTGTACATGTACTGGTGACCACCAAGACAGGTTTGTAATTTTTGTATTATCCGGTACTTGATGAAGGGTCTTTTGAAAACAAATCACACACAGAAAAAACCTGAAGAAGCCATTCTATATATTCTTTTTATAGTAGAGGGTTTTACAGCGCTCGTAACTGCATAAGGTCATATGAACACCAAGGGGTGGGTGTCAACAGAGAAGTCTTCACAGGGAATCAGACTTAGATTGCTCACCTCTCTAGCTTCAACAGCACAAGGTCTGCTTCGACTATCAAGACACCCCAAAATAGCAGGTCACAAGAGAGTGACAAACATACAAAGGAAGTAGAGGAAAATGACAATGGTAAGGACCAGGAAAGAAAAAGCAGCAGTTCCCTGTTGTAGATCAGGCACATTTATGAGCGTGACATGAGTCAGCCCATTTACAATTCTACTATGCTTGAACGAGAAATAGCCAAGGTGTCAGTCCTGAAAATATAATTGACATGTGTGTACATGACAGCACCCACTGTTCATGAACCAATTTAGTAGTTTCTTATCACTATTGGTACAATAAAGGCCATTACGTACAAGTACAAGTAAAAAAAAGAAAGGACAGAGACAACAGAAGTAAGATCTACCGGTAGCACGCCCCAACCACCTACATTAGCAGAGTGTAAAAACCCCAAATCCACAACAAAATCAAACGTCTAATCACTTTAAGCTGTAATTGTATTTAACAGTATTCTTTTGTACATGGGAGAAGCAACAAAGGTCCATTTTGTTTTCGACTCTGGCGTTTGAGGCGTGTCAGGCACTTTGGCATCGCACGACTCAGAAGACTTGAGTTTGATTCCAGAGTGGGAAGAACCTTCATTGACCATCTCCAGCTCTGTGCTGGGATGTTGTATCCCTCTCACCTTGGGTTGGCCCTGACACACAGGGTCAAAGCCAGCCTTGTAAATGATTTAAATTGTGTCGATGCCGGCATAAAGCATCTACATTCGAAAAAAAAATCAGCGTTAGTTCAAAGAGAAGTTATCAGACATCAAGTTTCTAAACTCTCAGCTTGGCCTCGAACAAGCAAGACATTGTAACATTTTCACTAGTTCTCAGATGGAAAGCCTTCCACATGAAAGCTTATGTTTCACACAAGTCAAAACTTATTCTGAACATAATAAGAGCTACACAAATAGGGGACATTTCAAAATTAAAGAATTCGAGCCAAAAACAAGACAAATATGATAGAAGCAATACTGGTAACTAAAAAGGCAAAAAATAAAAACAGCAAACCCTGAGACATCAAAGTATATGTGATTATCACGTTTATTATAAACAATCAGACATTCATTCCTAGGTCCGCCTTACACTTACAGTCTATCAAGAACATTTCAACAGATGTATACTTTCTTTGGTGAAAGTCTGTTGATAACAGAAGGACAGTCCAGCTGATGAAAAAGTTGATACCCCAATAACTAACATAAGACGCCAGCCTTCGGTCTATTACATTTTCTCCTGTTTGACAACAAAGTATTAATATTATGGTTGGTATTTTGTTTTTTTCCACAGTAAGTAAGTTTAAAAAACATCACATTCTGTTCATAATGAAAACAAATAGCTAAAAACAACAGCAAAGTGACAGGAGGCAACTTTTATACAAGAACCAGTGACCTAGACACACCCTTACACACACCCACACAATGTAACCATCAGCTCTCTCGATGACTCCACTCACTCTGTGATGACTGTAATAGAAAACCTTGCTGTTGTTGTGCTGCGAGCTCAGACCCCGTCAGGCCTTGAGATGTGAACTCACTCCCCCTCAGGCCTTGCTACTGGTGGAGAAAAGAGCCAACAAACCGGCGGCAGATGCCACAGAACAGCCATAGTTCCTGGACACTGGTCAAGGAATGTAACACAACTTCGGGGAATGGGGAAACTAAACTGATAGTTTTAGTAAGAGTTTTACGGCACTTGCAACATAATAAGGTTATATAAGTGCCCAAGAATAGATGTGTTACAAGAGAGTAACATACGGTACACAAAAAAGGAGGAGAGATAAGGACCATAGATCTTTGATGGAAGAAGGAGTAAACCACACCACAGCATCTGCCAACCACCCACGATTAATCTGAAATACTGAAACTAAATACTAAAATACTGTCTGTTTCAGTCAAGAGAAGGACATAGATGGATAAAATGTATACTGATGGTGCTGGAAACTGGAAGGAAATGAGGCAACTTCCAAAATTTTCTACAACCTTATTTCTTTTTACAGTAGTCTCCGCCTAAACGCACGCAGTCCAAAACACGCTCTGCTCAAATGCATGCTTTCGTTATCTGACGGTTTTTTTACGATATATTTTAGACGTACAAACGCACCGTCACTTCCTCTAAACGCACGTTCCGATCCGCGAAACACACCAACAGGTAAAGCTTAACAAGGGGAAATTTTCACTACAATCTGCTTAGCTTACATTAAGACAAGCCTAGAAAAACTGGATATTTGGCGAGACTGCCCGTCATACCGAACAAAGAGAGTGATTGACAGCGTTTTCACTCCCAACTTTCCAGACACATAGGTCTAGGACTGGTCAGTGAAAAGTCGGGGGGTTGAGGGGGGCCTGAAATGTTTTTTGATTGGTCACTGGAAATGCATCTTTGAGAGAAGGTTTCTGACTGGTGTTTGGGTGACTGCATGTAATGTTTAGTTAGACCTAGGCTGTACATACATGAATGCTGTAAAACACTAGATAGGCCTCTATTGGATTAAAGATTAGTCAAGTAAGCCTAATCAGCTGCGCTCAAAGAACTTTTAACGTACTTGTTCAACCAATCACTAGAGAAATGTTTCTCTGAATGTAGAGATCTATGATCCTGATGTCGTCCATGAACTTTCGGTCGCAGGGTGGTCGTTTGGTAGCTGGGCCGTCATCTCTATGACTATCATGAACAGTTTACTCTTAGGCTATCTGTTCCTGACATTTTATGGTGCAAATCATTACATTGAGTCTGTCTTTCTGCCCCCCCCCCCCCCCATATTAACACCTTTAAAGTCTTAACTGTAGTCAGGGAATCCTTCACACAACAGTCACGTGCCGTCACATTTTCGGCCAAAAGGGAGGTCACTAGAATACCAAGGCAATGAGGTGACTGCATCCCTTCCCCCCTTTGCAAAGGTTCATGTAAACGCCCACTCAGTATAAACACACACTAAGGAGCCCTCCATAGCATGGTGCGTGTAGGCGGAGACTACTGTACTATCCTGTAGATGTCTAGAAAGGTGCACATCAAATTATTCCATCTAACCACCTGTCCAAGGCAATGACCAGTACAAGCAACCCCTTCCTAACCTAACCCCTCTTCTCCCCTTTTGTTTCCATTTTATAATAAAAATGTGCAAGAGGAACACCTGACTAAGAGGAGTGGTAGTCTTAGACAGGATTTAAGGTACTTAATTCCATCTGTACATTCAGGCCCCGACCTTTACAAGACTACAACAATACAAGCATCCCACTTTGCCAACTAACAATGCTAATTTCATTTCAGTTGGAGGCACTCATAAATATTTTACAAAATCCCCCCCCCAAGAAAAAGAAGACATTAACCTTATCCGTACATCGTGTTTTACTATGGTATCCATACGACATGGGGAACTCTGTGCCAACTCTTTCCTAAGAGGACATTCACTCGTTAATCCGATCCGTATGCTTTGCAAAGCAGTCAGTCAAAATGATTTTTAGAGAAATACTGAAAGTTTCAAAGCGATCTTCATACTAGAAGTATTCTAAAATGTGCTGAATACAACCCCGGGGGTACAAAATGACACCAGGGCGTACAGATAGGATTAATATCAATCAAAATAAGGTAAGATTCCAATGACCTGTCAGAAAATCAACAAAACAATAAACATGAATGAATCCACGAACCACTTATTACCACTGTGTATGTGTTCACAAAAAGGATACAACACTGGGTTGAAATTTTTCAGAATGTAAAAGGAGGCCACGATCAACAGGACCAAGTACAAAGAGTTGTTGTAGAAAATGGAGAAAGTGGTGGCTTCGTAGTCAGCGACCTCGTTCTTCTTCCATAGAACCCTGTACAGAGAGAGAAATATACACTCACTGAACACAACAGAACAGTACTGGGCAGGATGTGTGTGTGTGAGTGCGCGCGTGCGTATGTGTGAGCGTGCTCGCATACATATATGTGGTTACCGTTTGAAAATATATTTCCAAACTCATACATTACAAACAAAATATAAACAAGTATAATTAAAAAGTCCCCCCCCCCCAACTAAAGTTGATCAAAGAAAAAGACATGTTTCTAAAATGGACAACAAACCAGAATACCTTTCATCCTTCTCCTTCTTTGTCATGCGCTTGTCATCAGCCAGTTTTTTCATCATTTCTTTTGCAACTGCATCTTCCCTTTTCAGAGCAATTCTGGGGACCAACAGGAGATGGGATTATATAATTTGAAGAATCAAAATAAAAAATCACACAAGTGATCAGTGCATTATAACCCCATTGTTACTTGTTAACTAATAAAAAACAGGAGCGCAACTACTAACTGCTATAGTAGATGATAGGGAGTCACAGGCAACAGCCTGAACAGCTGAATCATGCTGAATATATCAAAGTTACCTAATATTTCCAAACCGGCGAGTCACCTTGTCTATGAAGAACTGAGCACTGATACAAAGTAGGTTTCATCAAATTTGTGGTTGGAGCGGATAACACATTTACATGGCACGGTGAGTTTGAGAAAACAGCTTCAGTCAGAAGGCACAATGGAACTCGGAAGCAAATTCTCAACTTTTTCATTTTTGAAAACAAGTTCTTTGACAACCCATCCAGGGAAAACTCACCGCTAAGACATTATATCTCACATCAATGAGCAAAAACAATGTAGTATCACTGTAGTCATCCAATTGGCAACAGTGAGCCAGCATGAAACAGTTTGCACAAAACAGACAAAAATAAGACATTTGGCCTTGGACAGTTAGTAAGAGTAAACTGTAGAGAGCAACTGGTTTTTACATTATGTGACGCTCATTGTCACATAATGTAAAAATCAGTTGCACTGCAAATTGAAGAACCAGCTGTAGTTTTAGTAAAAGTTTTACGGCACTTGCAAAACAATAAATTAAAGTCATATATATAAGTGCCCAAGATTAAAGGGTTTTTTTTTCGGTAAGAGTTTTACGGCGCTTGCAACTGCATAAGGTCATATGAGCGCGCGGGACACACCTAATATTTTCAGTTGGTAGGAAATTTTGAACTTTGCCCGGGTGGCAGCCGAAGCCTACTCTTATCGATTTTAGAACACCAAGGGATCTTTAACGTGCGTAACTTACACACGGGCCCTCCGATATTTTTCGCCCTTGTCCGAGAAGGCTAGGTGTAGATCTTTCCTACCAGAAAATCAGGGGTGTGGCAGAAAGACAGCAGTAAAGAGGAGCCAAGGAGTAGCAGTAGAAAGGCTGCAGAAAGAGTCAGGAGCCCAGAGGAGGGGGCAAAGGAGGTGAGGGGTGGGGGCAGAAAGTGGAAACGAAAGCAGACAACAGAACATTGCTAGAGAGCAGGAAAGGAGGTGAAAGGAGACAATTTTAGAGAAGAAAATTTTTCGGTCGCTACCCGAATTCGAACACGGGACCTTTGAATGAGAGGCCAACACCGTAACCTCTAGGCCACAAGAGCCCCCAGATTAAAGGTGTTACAAAAAAGGAGAAGAGATCAGGAAGATAGATGTAAGGTAGGAAAAAAGGAGCAAACCATACCAGAGCACCCACCAACCACCCACGAAGAATCAGCAGTCGACAACCCATCAAACTAGCTACTGAACACCAAAAAGAAGAAGAAGCTCATCGTCAAATTAGCAATAGATATCAAGGAAAAAGCAAGAGTCAAAAATAAAAAATGGGCTAATAAGAAGTAGCAGCTACCACAGGTACCTTTCAGCCACCTATCATTCAGGCAAGAACAGACAAGAGAACAGTAAAGCAGGGTAGAACAAAAAGCAAGCCACCACAAGTGTGCCCACAAACTTCCTCTTTTGTAACTCCAGAACCACCTCCAGTTTTAAAAAAATGTTACACTATACGAACATGGTAACATTTTTATTAGGACACAAAAAAAACATGACATGATATGGAAAAGCAGAACAAGAGCTTTTACATCCCAGGGCCTCAGAACTCTTGCTTTTGGAATGACCTTTACTTCCGCAGTCAGCATGTCAAGTATACTTACTTGTGCTTAAGGATGAACTTGACATTGCGGTATGCCATAGCTACAAAGTAGGTGCTGACAATTGTTCCGATGATAAAGATGATGGCTGACTGGTAGAGATCCATCTGGTGGATGCGCCAGAATAACCCTGGGAGAGAAAGAAAATTGACATGCAGAAGGTGGAATACACAAATACAATACAATCAAACCTGCTATAATGACCAGTTGTCCAAAGCAATTACCTGAACAACTGACTATTTTCCACTACCCCCTTGAGTTTTTTTGTGTACCTTAACTCACTACTGTGCTCAGAAATCTTTTCCACCGACTTTTTGCCAATGGGCCAGTGATAAAATTGGTTGACTCTGTTTTGTTAAGTGTTATTTTACAGTGCTCACAACTGCATAAGAGCGGGCTGGATTACCTTAAACATTTTCAGTTTGGTAGTAATTTTTAATTTTGCAGGGGTGGCCAGTTGACACAAATACAATCGGATGTCGCAAAATATTGCTGAAAATAGCAGTAGAAATTCTTAAACCATACAAAAAATATATAGAGCCTGCTGCGCGTTTCCCGGTTGAAGTAGGTGGGCCGTATAAAAAGGGGCTCCTCTCTTCCCGGGAGGCCCCGGTCACACCCTACTGTTGTTGCAATTCCAGAGTTAAACGGCAACATAAAAAAGCATTATTATCGTCTGAAACAAAAACATGCAATAGGTATACAGTCAAACCTGTGTAAAACGGCCACCCACTGTCAAGGAGAAAAGTGGCCGTAAAGAGGGCATAGATATAGAACAAGAATTTCGACTATCAAGAACCAGTCTGGGTGTCATGATTCATATTATGAACTGACAGACTCAAATTATTGCTCAAACTCAGAGAAAAGCAATAACTTGAATGGCTCAAGTAGACCCAGGCACTGTGAGAGTTGTAACAACTGTGGTAGGGCAAGATGCAGTGACACTGAAAATCTGCCAGTATTGAACAGAAAGCTACAACATACACTGTTGAGGTATAATTTACTATCACCCATCCAAGTAGGTATAATTACTTTCACCCATCCAATGAAACACGAACACTATATATTTCAATAACACAGACTTGCAAAGTATGAGGGGTCCCGATTCCGCACACGGCCTGCACTAACGCGCGCTTTGCAGAAATTAAGCTCTCATCAAAATTCTGAAATGTGCTTCCAAGTTTTTGTCCTCTGGTGTTGCTTAACACCCCCCCCCCCCCCCCCCGGATAGTATCTTAAACCCAAAAAAAATCAATAATTTCCTCCCCTATTTCGTACATGTAGTCATATACTTCGCAATGCCGTTACTCCCACCAAAGACGGTCTTTCCTCACACGATGCCGCATTTATTTATGATGCGAATGCGCGCGGGTTCAGTGACCGGACACGATGGTGAGCAAGACAATCTAAAAATCGGACGACGCTGGTATTTTCTTTTCCACAAGTGACAGCCAAAGCGACGAGTCCCAGTATTTATTACATTTTATTTGCATGGCGACATTGCGTTTATGTGTGTGTGCGTGTGTGTGTGTGTAGGGGTATTATTAACCACAAAGAACTGCACAACCTGCACGCCACTAATGTTGCGTTATCAGACAACTGCTGGCAAACTTTTCGGTGGTAGCGAAAGAGAAAGTAGATCTTGATTTTCCGGATCGAGCCTCGGTGTCACATACGCTTCCGCCATAGCTGCCCGCGTGAAAGTGAAACGTACTCTCTGGACGGGGAAAAGCTGAACGCAAATCAATTATTTTCAGGAAAATTTCAAACGTAACTGTAGAATATCAAATTATGGGTTAAAACAGGGGGGCATGCCCCTCTAAACCCCCCCCAGATTTTCTTTTACCTCAGGGGGCCCCCCTGGAACCCCCCGATTTGTCCAAAGCACGTCTATCTCGATTAAAAACAATAAAATATAAATACCAGTAGCCCGGTTTACGCCCTGCGTGTAGCTGAGAAAACACGCATTCATTAGCAATGCCCACCGAGCGCATTTTGTTCTGTCGATTTTTGGCCCCCGCCGCGGGGGTGTTTCGTGGGACGCACTAACGCAAAAGTTGTTGTCTTCAACTCGCTTCTCGTGAATGGATATGAATGAAACTTGGCAGCCAATCAGAAAAGAGGTCAATCTCGTAGTATGTAGTTTGACAACATTGTACCCATCCTAGAAGCAGTCGAAAACATTTGCGAAAGTGGTTGATGTGGTGCGCATTGAAGATTTTTCTGAGCTGTGATTTGTCAAACTGACTGATACGTTGTACACCATTTTCCTTTATTCTCTTAAAATTTCAAGCTTCTGTGTTTAGCGGTTTTAGCGTAATCTTAAAAAATGTGGGAGTAACTAAGGGAAAAAGCGGCATTGCCATTTGCGCGTGCTGGGTGAACGACCCGGCGGCTGGGAAATTTCCACTGGGTGAAGTCATCAGCCATCGGTCGCCTCAGGCGCTACAAACGAGGCCCCGCTTATGTGAACCGGAAAAGGGGGGGAGGATACTTGAAAACTAAACGGGGGCCTTGATAACTTGTTTTTGTTGCATTTTAGTCACAATCATTCATCAAGGCAAAATAAAAAGGTGGCCGTCATTCGTCATTGCAGGTTTGAGTTTGACAATAATTAATCTAGATCTAGATCTAGATATCTAGATTTTCTAGAACTTGAAATTCAGGAGTTTCTTTTTAAATCGTAGACTCTGTGTGTTTTTATTTTCAAGACAATCACTTTCAAGCCGGCGGTACTGCAACGTATGGCATGGCAACTTCGAAGTCGAAGTAGACGTGTCTTAGTTTTTAATTTTTGAGTACGAGTATGACAGTATTATTGACAGTTCAGTATGGACACACGCCTCTTCTGACCGGCGTCGATTTAAATGCAAAAATTGGACAAATTACAAACGACTTACACATGGGAATGGCTGAGACAATAAGAGCATTTCCATAAAACAAAGCTGAGGACTTTGTAGAAACATTTCTGCTAAAGTCTTGGAGTAAAAGTTCCTCCTCGCGGGACAGCTTGTTCTGCTTTCCTCCTGCCATGGTGCTGCTACGTGAAAAGTAAACCGGAAGTAAAAGACCGTAAACGTTGCAGACGTTCAGTTAAAATTTATCTCGGAGAAAAAAGAGAAACGATATCCCATTCCATAGAATAATATTATTCTAAGATCAAATACATAATAGAAAAATCCTTAATATATTTTTACTCAAATAACTTCATGACTAAGTTTTGGGTTGAAAATGGCAGAATTATTTGTTCTACTGTGTAATAATGCGTTCTTGTCTTACATAAACAGTAGCGTTGTTGTTACCATAGACTTGTACTCCTAGATTGCATACTGTCATGGTCACCTGCTTCCTTAATTAAAAAAAACAACAACTACGAAGCGAGTAGGTACACAACAGGCCACACTATTAGAATCTACTCCCAATATGAAAGCCAAAATACCAATCTCTTTACAGTCGGGTGTGAACCGCACCATTCCCCTTATTATGCCCTTCATTCATCTCAAATTGAATCAAAATTAAATGGTGCCATTAGAAACTATCACTTTCTATTTAAAAACAAACAAACCCAACAAAACCTCGGTGCGAAACGTACTCACCATAGACAGTGCTATTATCACCAAGTGAAAGGCAATGAGCCCCGCAGAAGCATTTTGAATAATGGGTTTTAATTAGGATTAATTGAAGGGGTAGAATTTATTTTAACGTTTTATCAGACCAGTTAAATTTAATTTTTGTCCTTGTCGTCCAAATCAGTTTTTAAAAACTAAAAAAATAGTAATAAAAAGTTTACCAGGTTCGGCTTAAAATACAATGAACAAAGGAGCATATACTACTACTACTACTACTACTACTACTACTACTACTACTACTACTACTACTACTACTACTACTACTACTACTACTACTACTACTACTACTACTACTACTACTACTACTATTATTATTATTATTATTATTATTATTATTATTATTATTATTATTATTATCTTATGCAGTTGTGCGTGCCGTAAAACCTCTAGATCTACTAAAACAAAAAACATTATTACTAAATGTCTAGATATTTGTCCTGTCTTCATCTTTCTACTCGCACAGTTTTATTAGTAGAGGGTTTTACGGCGCACGCAACTGCATAAGGTCATATGAGCGCCAAGGGGTGGGTGTCAGTGTCAACAGAGAAGTCTTCACAGGGAATCAGACTTAGACTGCTCACCTCTCTAGCTTCTACAGCACAAGGTCTGCTTTTCTCACAGTTTGAACAGCTTGTTGATATTAACACTTTTTGCTTTAGAATTTTCCCCATATAATATGACGACAGCGACACCAACAACAACAGAAGAAGAAGAAGAAGAAGAAGAAGAAGAAGAAGAAGAAGAAGAAGAAGAAGGAGAAGGAGAAGGAGAAGGAGAAGGAGAAGGAGAAGAAGAAGGAGAAGAAGAAGGAGAAGAAGAAGAAGAAGAAATACTAATACTACATATAGCAATTTATTAACATATATTAGTTATTTCAAGAATAGTATTAAAAGTGGCAGCTACTGCAGCAGCTGCAATTAGTGGGTAATGTATGCTGAAATCAACACAACTGCAATTCACACATTTTCATAAGGAGATATGTTTCAAACGTTACTTTTGGCTGTGTGTCTCCCTCTTTGCTTCCAAAACAAGAATTTAAAGAGAGTGGTGATTTTTTTCAAGCCAAATTGAAAGCGCCAACAAAGCTGGGAACACAGAAAAATAAATCTTAATTAAAATAGTCGAGCTCGCACGGCAACTTGTAGCGCAAACTCAAACGGCGCGCCTGTAGTGAAATCAGAAATACGTCATAGTGCACAATTTAAGATTTTGTAACACAAATCTATGGGTATAGAGCTCAAAGAGCTTTTGTCTGATTGTCTGACTTTGTTATTATTTTTATTTTGTGCTATATATTATAAAGAATTATATAAAGTTGCCTAGTATTACAGTAAATTAAAAATCAATTTTGAGATTTAAAAAATCAGTCCTTTAAAAAATGGTAAGATCTCGAAGTACGAGACTAAAGTCGCCATTTTTAACCAATGTACACAAATGCTTGAATAATGGTTGTTAAGTGAGATTCCTTCGAATGGTCCATTGGCCTCTGCAAGAGCTACCGCAAAACCGTTCTAACGGAGAGACCCCTACAAACTTATGCTTTCCCATGTAGTCACATAGAGTGAGTGATGGGTATTTTGGCTTTATTTATTGAGTTGTCGTGACTCGACCGATAGATCTGACGGCTTTGTCGCTTTGTCGGACTGATGTCGATGGTGATTCCCATTCATTCTGTCTCTGACTGGGACTGGGATGTTTACATATAGATCTAGATCTAGATCTACATCTAGATCTAGATCTATTTCATTTTAATTTCATGATGTTTAAGTAGGGGTAAATTAGAGAAAGTCAGGGGAAATTAATGAAACAAATTGGAGTGGAGAAGTAGTAGCAGTAATACCAAGTTGTAGTTAGTCCTTTGGCTTTGGCGAGGCCAGGCAGGGAAGGAAAGAATGTGCTGCTGCCAACATTTTGGCGCTTGTTGGATAGTTCTCACCCCGCAATTGTTATTCGCCGGTTTTGGCCTCAAGAGTAGGGGGGTTTCAGGGGGGGCTTGTCCCCCGACCCATTAAAGATATTGTGGGGGGTTTCAGGTGGGCTTGCCCCCCTGAATTTTACCATAATTTGATGCTTTGCAGTGCCCCAACCACGGGATAGTTCAGAAGAACGAAGAAGTTGTTAGGTTTACATTGAAGCTAATGAGAGCATACTAAGCCGGCTTCTGACTGGCTGTATATATAGTGACGTATGAACACATAGGCCCACCAAATTTAGTAATATGACCAGGCCTAGTGGAATGTAGTTGGAAATCTAAGTCACCATTTAGCGAGCGAGTGGTGATCTCTGTTGTAGAGCTGAGACTGAGGCGAGGCAAAGATCTGTACAGAAAAAATCCGCGGTAGTTCACTAGTTTCTACTCCCTGTGTCAACTATAGGTCCTGACATATTGTTCTAGTGCCTTGTTAATCAAGTCATTGTAAAATAGATACGTGTAGTCTAAATGACTCTAGATCTGGCGCTTTTTCGGTAGTTCCCACCCCGCAATTGTTATTCACGGGTTTTGGTCACAAGAGTAGGGGGGTTTCAGGGGGGCTGCCCCCCTGACTTAATAAAAATAGGAAGGGAGGTTTCAGGGGGGCATGCCCCCCTGAATTTTACCATAATTTAATGTTTTGCAGTTGTTAGGTTTGATATCTTAGCTCACCGTGAATCAAACGTATAGATCTAGATCTAGATGTAGGTCAGGCTCAAAAAAGGGGGGTGCGAACTTCCGAAAAAGCACCCTAGATCTAGTAATACATTTTAGCCAATCAGAAGCCGGTGTAGGCTATCGTCCTCTTGACATCGTTTCATTGATATATTTTAGCCAATTAGAAGCCGGTGTAGTGTGCTTTCGTTAGCTCCATGTGTTAGGTTTGATATCTTAGCTCGCCGCACATCTAACATGCAGGCTTGATCTAGATTTCTAGATGTACCTAGATCTAGGCTCAAATTTAAAGAGGGGTGGGAACAGCACCAACATGTCTTGGTGCTTTTTTGGTAGATCTAAATCTAGATTCTAGGATCTAGAATTTCCCCCCCCCCCTTTTTTTGACCTATTAACATATTCAAAATTCGCAAAATTGTGCTCCATTTAGTATTCGAGAAGTAGGCTCTAGGTAAAAGTACTAGATCGAGGTAATCAATTTGTCAGAATTACATAAAATTAAACACTATGCCCTACGCCTAGAATCTAGGCCTAGTGTTGTTAATTGCAATCATGAAGTGCGTCTGGGAAATTGACTGTCGTCCAGACTGTCGCCATTGTTGTTTTTGGTCGGAATTGGAGGTACAATTTGGCCAACCATTCTTTGTACAAAACAGTACTGCCAAGTTGGAAAGTGAACCATTTTCAGTGCCTTTTACTGTTACAAATAAGGGTTTAATATCAAATAATTTTCGTTCATGTTAGGCCCTGTAATACTTAAGTCGAAATCTCTTGAAATATTCGATCTAGGCCGATATCAGTTAATTTTAACTCAATTATATTCTCGAAACAGGAAAAAGGCAAATATAATAATTTGGGGATGGGAACTACCGAAAAAGCTACCATTTCTTTTTTTGTAAATTTTTACTGATGTACCCACAGACAAAAGCAGTACTTTTGGTGACCTGACTCGTTAAAAAAAACAACTCTTGTCCTGCGTCTGTGCTGAGATGCGAATCTTATCAGCAACCGATTATATCGGATGTTCCGGGGCGGCCGCCGGGGTCAGTGTTTACTGTTGGTGTACAGCATGCGCGCCGGGAAACTTGTGTTTTCGCCATAAATGCCATGGGAGTGTGTTAATCGATGATGAAAATAACGCTCTATCTTACATAGGTTTCTATTTATAAAGTGTTACAAACACATAAATAACCCCCTCTCATAAGCTGATAAGACATTACGAGTAGTTATGCCCATTCGAATAACCTTTCTAAATGCTCTTGTTGTTATGAATGACCTGGGGTTTGAAAGGGGTTATTATAGGTCAATTTCCAAATGTTTTGCGCTCAAATTGTTCTGTGTAGCTGCACAGTGGTATTCAAAATTATTAAACAAGCTTATTTTTTATCAGGTAGTATCACAATGGCTTCTTTAAGGTTGACTAGGTCTACGGATCAGGCTATTGCAGAAATTTATCAAGATGCAGACAGTGATGAAACAGATTTCAATTCATCTGAAGAAAGTTTTTGTCATAGAGGTCTAATCTCAAAGATGGCAGGGATTTCGAATACGGAGATGGAATTTAAAAAAATCTCTTTTCTACAGAATACTTACAACTAAAAATGAGTAATACCAATGGATTGTATGTTCATTTCTCTTTTATTTGACATATACTTTGCTATCTAGTCCTCTTATAGTAAAGTAAGCGAGCTATAGCCGGTCAAAAAGCTGACCGTGTCATACACAGCCACTGTGGAAATTTCCGTAGCACATGCGGTAGAATTATGGTTAGCAGCCAAGGGATTAAATTTATTCATTACCGTAATTTATAATAACAGTCAAAAGACTTTCCAAAAATGAGAATTAGAGTGTCTACTCTAATGCTGTGATCTGTTTATATATTTAAATTGATATTGAATTCATTAATCTTAATCAGGGTCAATTTTGAGAATGATAACTCATATAACACACTACACAGTTGTTAAGTTCTACATTAATGGCATTATTTACAACTTTGTTAAAATTTATTCATGATCATAATTTATTACAGTGAAAGACTCTCCGAATGAGAATTAGAGTATCTACACTAATGCTGTGATCTGTTGTATTATTGATGTTGAATTCATTAATCATAATGATTGTCAATTTTGAGAATGAGAACTCAGAACACACTACACCGTTGTAAAATGTACTGCCTTAACACTTTTCCGCCTCATCTCGCCGATCGGCTATGTTTACCTCCCAATTTCTTTGGATTTTCCCCCAAATGTGATGGCAAAGTGTTAATGGCATTATTTACCATGCTTACAAAGCTAAAGCTAAAGTACGTAGGCCTACAGTACGTTGGCTCCTGGGGGATGAAGACGATGACATTTGTATTTTATGTTCAGGATTGCAAACAGCAAGGAAACAAAGAATGCCTCATAAGCTTCATTTTAAAGTGATCCATGCATCTGGCCAAGATGATGTTTACAGAGCATTGGAGCTTAACCATCACAGTCCCCTCACAAAGGGATGGCAATCGGCAAGGTGAGTTATGATGTCACTTGTGTGTTTTTAACGGAAGTATATATTATTTAACACCACTGCCAGTGTCGCGAAAAGGAATGTAAAACTTCAGTTGTTATCTTTTAATAACTTACCGTGGGTCAACATAAATTATATCATTTGTAAAAATATCAATGCTGTGAGATTGTTTCTTTTCTTGTTCACATTTTTTTTCTAGCATTCAAGTACAAAAAGCTTAAAGTGATTCAGATATGGTGATGGCTTTCATATTTATGTTTGTGTTTTTTTTTACATAATTGAAGACCTACAGTTTTACACGACGTACACTGTTTTAAAAAATCGGCACAGCTTTCAGCCTTGAACTTTGTGGCTATCTCATCGCAAACTCTATTTTTTAAACATTTTTGTTGTTGCAGGTTTTGCTTGTTCCCCCAAGACATAGTCATACAACTCGAGTCCCGGGCCAGATTACGGAAAATACAAGTCTTATCACATCAGTACCTTGTCCGTGAGTATGAGTCTACTTTTTTGTGGAATAGTAAAATCGAAAGTTCCTCTAACTTGTAGCTATTATATAGTAGGCCTTCTTCATTATAGGTAAGTTAATTCTCTTTGCATTGTTTAGTTTTCTGAGTGAAATTTAAAGATGTTTTCAAGTGTAAAGAATATTATGCTGGGAGATCGCCAAAGTTCCAGCATTGATGATGAGCTTATAGATGTAAATAGTGTGGCATTCATGAAAATATATATTTGTAGTGATAAGATATAGCCTGCAGTTTATTTTTTTAGATATGTAGATATGTTGCAACATGGATTTTATTGTGTATTAGATAATGTGGCCTTTGTTACACAGAGAAGAGTACCTATATCAAAGGTCACGCTTGCTAAATAGTCAAATAGAAATAAAATGCTTGATACTTGTTTGGAAAAGGTGACGGTGAACTGTTAATATTACAACCCTCACACCCCCCACACACCCTCTCAGAAAGATGACTCCGTGAAAATCTGACATGTACGCAGAAGTTAAATTGCTGCTGTCATTACTCAACACAAGAAAGTCTTTTGGTGTAAGAAACTTCTGAAAATGTCGTCGAATGTTGAGCATGGAGGGATAAATTTATAGTGTTATCCTTCCTTATGAGATGAAAGCAATTCAACATTGTTTTGTTGATGAGGGAAAACTTATGAATGATATTGTCACTAAATTATATGAATTATTCCCCCTGTCTTTGTTCACAGCTACCAAAATAGAATTCTTTGTGGGAGATGTTCCCGACGGCTCTTTGTTGTCTCTTGACAGTGCAAGATATGCAAGACTGGGGTAAGATTTCACATTGTTATAGAAAACTTAAAGGCCTTGAACATCTTTCTTTAACTGGAAAAAATAGAGCGAAGGAGGGAGAGGAAGGCAAAGAACAACTTTTTTCGAAAGTTTGAACAGATGGAAAGCAGTGAAAGATCAGGATAAGTTTTTTTTAGAGCATCCAAGCAGAGAAGTGAGTGGTAAATCATAATTGCAGATGTCTGTTTCAGATCTGGCATTTGATATTGATGGTTCTTTTTCATTAGATATGCAAGGTTTTGATAAGATTTTTGGGTGTTTTAAGATTGACTCTTTTGGTCAGATACGAATGAATTGTTGTATAATGTTGGATAGTGATATGATCTTTATAATGTCCTTGCATCAAAAGAAAGAAGAGGGGATGAGGAGAAGAGGACGGGGAAATTTCACAAGTTTCTATAAATTCTATAAGATGATACTTTGTTGATCTATTGCCTTACAAATGGGCAAACAATGCACTTTCACTGCATATGAACAAGTTTTTTGGTGTTTACCTGCGTCCAAGTTATCTGATTATTTCAATATTAGAATGAGTTCAGTACTCATTAGTTGGGTGAAACTTGTTGACGAAGTGAGTGGAAACTGATGTCTTTGGTGCAGTGGTTAGGTGCTTTTCTATCGTATGCAAAAGACTCTAATTCGTTTCCTGCGTGGGTAGAATTTCTGTAGAATATCTTGGTCTGACTGCTAGGACATTGTATCCCTCTTAACCCGAGTTGGCTCTGATAGCCAGGGTCAAAGGCCACCCCCTAAATGATCTAAACTGTGTAGAGGAGGGTGTTTAATAAACACCTACTTTTCAATAAATTTATGTATGGTTAGTGGAAAAAAGAAATGAGGCCTTTCAGCAGCCACTCAAAATAAGTTTGAAGCTACTTTTAATCATGTGTCAGAACACCGAGGGTGGAGGGTGGTATGGTGCTAGAATAACAGACTTTAGAGGCGCGATAACTCAGATGATTTGTGAGAATTTAAAACCTGATCTTGACATAAGGCATGTTTGTTATTTTGCAGGTATGTTTCTCTCTCTGACAACGAAAAGACTGGCTTCAAGGCCAGAGAACTCAAGTCTGTTCACGTGGACGCTGTCGGGCATTACTTGAAGCTCAACATTCACAAAAATCACGTTAACAAACACAATCTGTATAATCAGGTACGTCAATAATGTTCTTGTGACTTGAAACTGAACTTTAATTTTTTAAAAACCCGCATGAATTTGTACATGTCTAACCCGGTACGTCTATATTATATTGTTCCTAAGGTTGGGTCAAACAATGTGTTCGTTGATGAGAACCTCTTTACTGTCTGTCATATTTTTTTCTTTGATGGACATTTTGATGAAAACTGTTTCCAACGGCTGGGTGGAGGGTGCCACTGGTTGCTTGTACGGATCATTTCCCCTGCATTTAATGGCTGTCGTTGCTTTGAGATTTGTTTTTTTGCTTTCGTTCCTTGTCTGTAAGCTCAGTCTTTGTCTCTATAAACCAAGGTATGGTGAATAAAAATTATCATGGGCTTTGATTGGACGAGGTGAAAATGAACATTAGTTATCTGAAGTTTGATCAAAAAAACATAATGTAAATATTATTTTATAAATTAAACAGTTTTTGGAGGTATTACTAAGAGATGATGTTTGATTGATTTTGATAATATTTCAATCTGAGTGGGGTTTTTTTTCTTTACTTATAAAACTCTGTTTCTCCTTAATAGAAGAAATGAGTTTTTTCTTGTGACAGTGACAATATGTTTTTTCATTGGATGTTTGATTTTGATTGGTCCCATTTGTGTTTTCCCAGGTTGGGTTGATCGCCATCAATGTGATAGGAGATGAGCTGCACAAACCCTTCGATATCGTGGACCCGGTGAGCAGTGTGTGGCTAATCATAAATGTTTTATGTCCCCCATCAATGCGCGTCCGATCTCAGATAGTTTAAGAGGCAGGCTGCTCTGATCGGGCCTGTAAGGGCCAACCTTCTCTGAGTGGGATACAGCATCCCAGCAGACAGACGAAGGTACTCTATGAAATAACTTCTCTACATGGGAGTTGAACTCGTGTCCTCTGCATGCAATGACGAAGAGCCTAACAGTGTGTTTCTGTCTGCTGGTGATGCTGGGAGTTAGGCTGACAGGACCGTAAATGTTTTTTACTTTCTTAGAAACACCAGAATGGAATTGTCTTGGTGGCTTGTATATCTGTATGGCTATCCGACAAAGGAAGTGGGTTTTTGTTGTTGTTGTTTTGTTGACCAAATATGTGAATAAATAGAGACTTTCTTTTTTTCCGTCTCTCCCAATTCGTTCTCTCTCTCTCTCTCTCTCTCTCTCTCTCTCTTTCTCTTTCTCTTTCTCTCTCTCTCTCTCTTTCTCTTTCTCTCTCTCTCTCTCTCTCTCTCTCCCTCTCTCTCTCTCGTGCGCGTGCTCTTGCTCTATCTATCGCTCTTGGTCTCATTTTTTTACTTAATCTCTCCCTATTTCTCGCTTTCTTTTCTTCTGTCGGATCCATGTATGCAGATGTGTGGTCATTGTTTTGGGACGGGGGTGGGGGGAGGGGGTGTAATAGCGGGGTTGGTGCTATAATCTTGCAGGAACAGGAAACAGGTGGCTGTAATTGTCAATGCGCACAAAGATATGGAGGGGTGTGATACTTCACTTTTATTGAATATTTTTATCATACTTTTTTGTTATTTTCTCCTCAGGATGTGTTTCTGGGTGATGAGCGAGTGGACAGTGACCCAGCCATAGAGGGACTGTACAATAAGTGAGTGATGTATAGAGACAATGTGTGAGGAACTGTACAATAAGAGTGATTTATTAGCTGTGCCAATCGGGCTTCCACACGCAGCAGAATTTTGGTCCCAATTTGCCGGTGAATTTTTAGATCGGGTCGGAACGAAGGTAACTAACTTTCTCAAACTCGATCTGCTCTATTTCTGGTCCAATATAAATGAAACTTGGCAACCAATCAGAATATAGGGCAAACTAATGATATGTGGACATTGCAGTTTGCACACTTAAATTAACCTATATTTTTGGTGTCGGAAACTCTTTCATATCGGGTATACGGAAAACTGTAAGGAGCTTGATTTTCAACGTCAAGAATGTGAGTGATCTATCTTTCCTCTATAGTGTCCTTATATTTGAATGTTCTGTGTCAAGTAGTTGTTTAGAATTTATCCTAAATGCACCACTATCCCCCTATCCAAAGCGTCTTCGTACAGAGCCCGACCATTTTCCCCTTCCTCCCTTGGCAAATGTATGTGACCTACAAATCCCCGCATGACTATTCCGAGCCCGTTCATTGGTCACTTGAAATAGGGCAATGGTGGGCAAGCGCATCCATTTGTTTTTCTCTCTGTTGCTCTGTAATATCGCAATAGGGGTATTCTGAGGCGAGGCTTAGGTGTTCGCGTCTCAATGGGAAAAAAAGGTTTTTAATTTTACAGCATGCAAGATTGAATTGAATTGTATTTTACGGTTGGCGTCGTCTAAAGTCATCAAAGAAAGCTTTGCCATTATTTAGTCACGCTGCCAATATATTTTTAAAGATCCCATGTTGTTATACGATGCTATGAATAAAATGCTCTCATCCCCGACACTCGATTTTTGCAAAATCGTCATATGTACACCAAAATTTTCATTATAACAAAATAACTACGAAATGGTAAGTAAATCAAACTGCGGAAATGATTTCTCCATCCAAAAACACATTAGGTAGCCAAGTTTCTTTCTAACACTCTGATTAATTACTGAGATGTCATCTATTTTCTTACGAATTTGCTGTTACGTGGTCCACTTTTTAGGAGTATTTTCTAATATGTGGGTCATCTATATTTTGCCTGACCTTTACTTTTTTATTTATGAAAGGATTCTTTAAATTCAAAAAGCATAATTATTAGAAATTGAAAACTCTTTCTTGGGTACCAAGATTATGGTTTTTCTCTTTTTCTCTTTTGGTAAGTGTTTTACGGCGCTTGCAATGTAAAATAAACAAAATAAACAAGTCCAGTATAGGATTAATAGAGAGAAAATAAATGCAAGACTATATAATTAGTTAGTAACGTAATGAGTGAGAGAGAATAAGTGAAGGATTGTAAAATGAACAAGTTGAATATGCAAGTGGATGGACAAAGGAAATACGGACAGATGGATAGATTGATGTGTACATGCATTTATGTACGTTTGCTATGGTAAACCAGATTTCCGGAAAGCTGTAAATAAAAGTGAAATTTCAAATCTTTTCCCTGTCTATTGTTGTTCCCCCCAGACCCGACTACATCTCTCCACTAGACGACCTTGCCTTTGACATGTACCAGGATCCCGAGATTGCTCAGATCATCCGCAGACTGGAGAGAAAGAAACAGGAAGCTGTTCTACGTAGGTTTTGACATGAAGGTCTTTGTTTTGTCTGCCAGGCAACCCCCCAAAAAAGTTAAATATAAAAGAAAGAGAAGAAAAAGATGGCTTTAGCATTTATTGTATTTTGGTCTGAGCAGAGATGTTAGGTTGACAAGGACGTCTGTGCCAGGGCAATGATAATATATACAATGGTGAACTGTCTCAAAGTTTAGCTTGTCGCAGTTGGGCCCCGTCACATAGCTCCTTTATTAATCTAAGGTTTAATGTGTTGTATTCAGAATATTCCACGCTGGTCTCCCATCCTAAACCTTTGAGCACTTGACTCCGGTACACCGGTGGCACGTAAAACTGTCCGTATGCCTAGTCACCGGTACAGCGGTGAGCGAGAACCCGTCCCCAACCCTGCCCGCCCGAGACAAAACGCTTACGGAAAACAGTGTTTACTACACAAGACATTGATTTTTTTGGGGAAAATCTTTCTGAATTAGATGCTGGTATATTTACAAGAACTACCCTGAGTGGGATTTGGAATGTGATTCTGACGATCATATGAATGTTAGTAATATATTGCTCAGGAGCTCAGGCAGAGGAGCATGGTAGCCTCAGGAAGTCAGGGCTCAAAGGGTTAAACCTGTCATGTCTATGTTGCTTGTCATTGTCTTCTAGCCTTTGTTCACAGACCAGGAGATCACCAAATCTGTTTTCAACTCTAAAAGGGTGTT